GTTCACAACGGCGAGAGGATCGGCGGAAAATGGTGGACAAGGGCGGGTCGGCTGCAGGGGTTGCGCGCGCCTCCACAGATCAATATTTCATTTCAGCCTCGGCAACCTCCGACCGCCCACCCCATCGCGCTCCCCTTCCCCCCTGGCGCACCTCGCTGCCCCCCCTCCCCCTCTTTCACTCTTCGTCTTTTGCCGCTTTCCTCGCGACCTCGCGCGTAGCTGCGTCTCGCTCTAGTCATCCTTCAACCCTCCCCTCGCCCCCCCCCCGTGTATTTTCCCTTGTTTCCCAGTTTTCCTCCCTCGTTCGCATGCATGCTTTTGTGCCTCCCTCCCTTCATCATTCCTCGTTAGCCTTCCTGCTTCAATGACTTTGTCATCGTACAACCGGACGCGAGAGGTGTTCCATCATTATATCGAATCAATCGTCAATCATCACCGTTATAACGATGTTACAGATATTTAAAAATAGTCGCTCGGTGTCTCACGGCGAAAAACGAAACAGTCGGAAATTTAAATTACCTTTCACGCGCAGTTTCGGAGTTACGTGATTAGAAAAGCCTGTGGCTCTCTCGAAGTGACTCGAACCGTGAAATGGAATTTCCTTCACGAGATAAGCACGATTAGACCGGGGTGACTAATTGTTCCTAGTGTCTATATACTTTCTGTGATAAAGTCGATACATAAAATTTCACGTGGGGGGGGAATGTTGAGGGACATTAACGTGGACAGACTTTACTTTTATCGCATTTATCGACCATCTTGTGGCATCTTTATCTTAAAATAATTGGAAAGAGAATTTGGAGATCAGAAAATCCTCGGGACCGAAATAGAATGGTTTGAGGAGCGTCGACGTTGATCAGATCGATCGGTAGATCAGGTCCGGTCCTTAGCTTCTCTTCTGCCGAGAGACGAGCGGCGCCAGTTTTAACCCAATTGCAATCTTACGATCGATGTTACCGAGAGCACCAGCTCGAGTAGAGAGAGAGCCGCCTCGCTTTCGCTCCGCATTGTTTCAGTTATTCATTCGATGCGGTGCCCGCGCACGGGCCTGGCGTGTGCGCGGCGGACTTTGACTGGGGGAGGAGGAGACGGACACAAAAGTGCTCTCGTTCGCACTTCTCGCAACCGCTCGCGAACTCCCAACGGCGCGGCGCTGCGCGCCCCATACCAGCCGCCTCCGTGCGGTTTTTTTTCAGCTGAACGTGTCCCCAACGTTGTTTTCCGTACCCTCGATAATAGGCCCTTGACATATCGCACGTCGAGCATCGCGGGCACCGAGTTTCCGCCGTGTCATGAATTCTCGTGTAATTAAAAATTATACTCGGCGCGTCCGCGTTCCGCGTTCGCCTAGCGCTAGCAGTTTCCACTTTTTGCAAGTTACGAATGCCAATTGAAAGCGTACCTGCGAGCTAGCGTGCGTATTTGCTTTGTAATTCACGCACATTTTGTGGGATTAATTTTTTCTTTTACTGCAAGGGAGATGTTGCTATTATAATGGAGAGATTATTAATCAATAGGAGAGATCACATATTAATATCAATATCGGATTATATTGAAAAAAAGAATTCAATGGAAACGCGAATGGTTTTTGTACAAGCAGAATTTACGGGCTTGTAAATATAGAAACTTTTTAAACGGCAAACGCACACGTACATTTTGCAGGTACGTTCAGGTACGTTCAGGTACGTTCGAATGTCGTTGCTGAAATAATTAACGTGAAGCTACGTGTCAGCGTCATGAAGTTTTAATTAATGATTTGTGTATATTTCGGAGCGTAAATAAAATGTAGAATTGAGGTGGTTGATAGATGTGGGTGGACGCGATATATTCGCCGCGTTTTTGAATAAACAAAACCATTGTTTTTATTCGACACTCGGGTACGGGGGTTTTTGAGAAGAAAATTGACGAATGACCTTTTGGGGCAGGGAGAGAGAGAAAGAGTGTGTGTGTGTGTGCAGATCTTTCGGCGCGTAAATATACACCTACTAACGCAAGTGCTTGTTTCAACAAATACAAAGGCAAGAATCACAAAGCGGAATTTCTCGGGAGTAGCGATATATTGTAAAATGTAATTACTTCAACATAAACGAAATTACAAGACGTATGACGTTAATAGCGCAGATGCTAACCGACCCAAGTACGTGAATTATAAATAATGACGGAAAATACGTATATTACGGTAATCAAAGAACGAACTTATTAATTATAAAGTGAAAATACCGCGGCGGAGAGAGGCGACGCTCTGAAATTAGATATAAGAAAGTGAAAGCAAATATATCTATTTAATAAACGAAAATTATGAAAAACGAGATGAAATATTCTTATATACGCGCTGGGAAAAGGAGAGCGTATAAACGCGCGGAAATTGTGGAGAGGTTGAGACGTGGAAATATGTTGAGAGATTCGCCAGCTAATTACGAGTGAGGGACCGTAACGTGTGCACGTGTAATTTTCGGAAGTACTCGTCATAGTGCGATTATAAATTTCCAGATAAACATTTGCACACGGCGAGGAAAACGGGTGGCCGGCTCTCGTGGAGATCTAATTCGATTCACGGACGTGGAATTACGAGTTGCGAGTTTGTCGCGGCCTCGCGCCGCGAAATTTTACGGGGCGCGAGATCGAATTTGTCGCTAATGCATACTGATGTCAGGGGGCGAGGAATAACACCACACGGGGTTGTGCGCATACATGTCCGCGATTCATTTACGCGGGCCCGTCCCGCTTGTTTCCGGAGCCGCGCTGCGGGTCGAGTAAACGAAATGCGCGTCCCATTTAAATTTTCACGAGAGGGACGTAATGTCAGGCTCGCGCCAGGCGAGGCGATATTGTCGTCGGTGTGTGTCGGGCGGTATCATTGCTCGCGCGCGATCGAAATTGCCGATGTTAAAGCCCGTGTCGGACTATCGGAGATTGAAGAGTCGCGAATTGGGAATTAGAATTCGGCCAGTCAGGTAATTTTATTTTTAATCCGCTTCTCTGATTGATCGAATTCCAATCTTCATTTTGCGATACTCAATTTTCAGTGCGTAGTCCGAGGCTAATATTTCATTCGTGCGGCAAATTTTTCAAATGCTCGATTGGATACAGACGTTCTCGAAACTCTCGAAATTCTTTATTTTGTAGTCAATTAATAAACAAATGAAATAATAATTTATTACAGTCTCGCTGCTCCGTTTCAGGACGCAGGTTCGGGCGTCGCGTATTCGATCATCCACGTGGGCGCAAAAAACGCGCGGATCGACAGCCTCCGCGATCGATGGATTCGCGGATTCAGCCGCAAATGAATTTCGCTAAATCTAAAACGTATTATAAACGAATTGAATTTTTTCAGTTACCACTAATGACAAATATTGTTTTCGTAATTAGAGAAGTCATGGCGTGAAATTGCATTCAGCGTTGAAATGTGGCACAGGCGGAATGAATGGGACCGTCTGACTTTCCTTGAACCTTGGCATATTTGTGTATCCTTAGCTTAGATTCACAGATCCTCCGGATTTACAGATATCCCCTCCCTTCTCTGGTCACACGTTCCTCGCGTGTCGTGAATCACAACATCCACAAGCTAAATATTTTCATTCATAAATTCCTCGAGACTTTCGATCGCGAGTTAAATTCGAGACGCCGCGCCGTCGTTATCTATTTAGAAGCTCTACGTTATTTTACAAAAGTAAATGTAACGACAGTTATATAGTGCAATATAATTCTAAAAATTTTCTCTTTTCTCGGACTTTGACGCCGGTCGTTGACGGCGGTGAGATTCCCGCCGTTTCGTGGGATTTCTTTTGATTTAAACGAGAGACACGGTTCAACGATCGCGAGAAGGGCGAAAGGGCTTTTATGGTAATCCGGAGATCTTTCAGATCCACCCAACGCACTTATTTTAGACTGTACCTCCGTTCTTTAAGTAGAAAATTGTCTTCGCCCGTGTTTGTGTCTGTGTTTCGAACATTCTGTACAACTTGTGATCACGCAGTACTTTCGCAAATGGATCTATATATATCGTAAACCCTAATTGAGATTGCTAATTATGTAAAATTTTTGTTAATTGTAAGAATCGCAGCCCAATAGTTTTATAATAAATTATGTCAGTTTTTTTCCTATTCTTTTTTTATAAAATTATATTTATATCAATTTTTATATTTATAAAGAATACGATAGAAATACAATTTAAAAAAGAATATGGGAAAAGAATACCGGCACAATTTATTCGCAAAGTGGCGATTTCCCGAGGAAATTGCAGCGCGTATCTAACGATTGGCCGCAGCTTTTCGCGGAAACTCGTCGACAGCGAGAAAAACGTCCCGAGAGAGGGAAGAGGGAAAAAAACGATCGCTTTTTTCCAAGTTAATTTTCGCACAAAATTACGTGAGGGGCTTCAGACAAGCCGAGGTAGAGAGTAGGGCAGGAAGGTAGACGGAGAGAAGTGCAGGTTAAGCAGCGGAACACGCGTGATAGACGTTTAGCGGGTCAGAGGAAGAGAGAGAGAGAGAGAGAGAGAGAGAGAGAGAGAAGACGAGGCGTAAAGATAAAGAGGAGTAGCTTCGACGACGAAGGAAGTTGGAAGGAAAGAGAGGTGAATCCAGGCTGTTTCGCGACGATTAAAACGAGCGAAACGGGAAGTGGAGTCAGCGAGCGATCGAAAGAGAGCGGAGAGGGAGTGAAAAGAGAAAGAAGGCAGGCAGGAAAAAGACGCTGAGGAACCGTCGTCGTCGCGCCGCCGTGATCGTGATCGTCATCGTCATCGTCATCGTCGCCGTCGCCCGTGTAAGCGTGGCGCGACGCGGCACGTCGGATCGGTCCCCGGGACACGGTCGCGGTGCGCCGCTCCGTTGCCCCACCCAGCCTCGTCGAGGAACGGGGCGGCCATGCCGGGGCCGTGAGCCGATCAATACCTCGGCTCGGGCACGAGGTGCAGCGGACGTACACGAGCGCGGCCGAGCGTGGCCGAGCCCCGGCACGAGGCGAGCCGAGGTTCCCCATCATGGGCGGCGTTGCCGGCTCAGTCGCTGTGCGGGAGTGGTCGCCGAGGGATGTATGGCATCGTAACCGCGAGTGTGACCGAGGAATAAAGGAGCCGGCGTTTTAGTTTCTCGTTCGCGTTTAGTCCACGCGCGCGCTCTCTCTCTCTCTCTCTCTCGCGCCGCGCGTGTCTCCCTCCGGTTGGTAGAGGGAAAAGGAAGAAAACGAAAGAGAAAAAAAAGGAGGAGGAAATCCCGAGGATCGTCGTGCAGTAGTCCGCAGCCCGTCGTTATCGCGGCACGCAACGTTCCTTCATCATCACTTGTCCCTCCTCCGCGCGCTCGTCTGACTCTCGAGCCGGTGCACGGATCCACGCACAGATCGTGTATTTACTTCGTTATTTATTGTACAAAGGACTATAAGAGCCAATAGGTAGGTGCACAAAAATCACGGTCCTGCGTTGTGTCGCAGTTGTGCTTTTTTTTTTCCCCCCTCGTGCCTGGTACTCCGTTCTCGTCTAACGTGTGTCCCTCTCGCTCGCACGCTTCCGCGCCCTCTCATTCTCTCTCTCGGCCGCATGCTATAAGCGTGCAGGTCGGTCGGGGCCGCTTCTTCCACGCACTCGTCACTTCCTGCGTGACCGAATCGCCGCCGGCGGCCGACGTCGAGGCTTCTGGATCGTAACGCCCGTCGCTTATCGGCGCTCTCGTGGGAAACTCCGACTCCGGTCGGCTCGGAGCAGGCCGAGGGAACCGAGGCGAGCCGGCTATCGATCTCTTCGCGGCAACGTACTGCGTCGTAGAACGACCGCTCGTAACGCGTGTTCTCTCCGCATTGACGCGTAATAACGGAAGCTCGCGTATCCTCCGCTCGCCGTGATTCGCGATCGATTTTCCCCCTCGATATAGCCCGCTCGCTCGGTCAATCAATCGGGCGGTTTCCCCTATCCCGATCTAATCCCGATCGATCGGCCTCGCTGATAATCGGCTGGGCGTCGCGGCGGCGTCGCCGTCGGAGAATGCGGCCGGGAATTTCGTTCTCTCTCTCTCTCTCGCCCCCCCGTGAAAGTAACGCCGTGGCGCTTAACTTAACGGCTGGCTCCCTCTCGAAAAGGCGGCCGCTCCGCTCGCCTCCGCGGCCATAACCTCAACCCGGACGGCACGACGCGGTTGATAATACCCGCCTCCCCTCGCGAGCCGGTCGGGCACGTCTCTCCGCCGACCTTCGTCGCGACGGCGGCGGTGCTCGTCCGCCTCCCACGAGAGCTACTTTGCATGGCTAAATATGTCTTTGCGCGGAGGATGACCGACGTAGGTTCGCCATCGAGCTCTCTGCGAGGTGTCCCCATTACCGCCGGGCGTGACGTTGAACAAGGGTTCCCCCGATGTAGTAGCGGAAGTTTCAGGGGTCATTGTCATACGTGGTGAATCTCTTTTTTTTTTGCTTTATTTTTAATTACGTTAGCCATTTTTAAATAAAATTCCGTACTCAAACTCCGCTTGGAATTTAAAGAAAAACGAGGTCTCGGTAGCTCTTTATTTTGACTCCGAATGTTTTCAGATTGTCGAGCATTGAATCTCCGGGAAGCCAATCACCCTATACGAATTTTCTTATTGAAATTTCGTTCGGTGACAGTATAGACGATTTCTTATATTGCGCGCTCGTTTTAGATCGATCGCAATCAATCGTTTTTTAGCGTGCTGCTCGGCCTCCTTCCTTCTCTTTGTTTCGGACGGATAGATTCTATACCGAATCTAATAATCGATCGATCAATATACGATTTTCCCTTTTCTCTATCTCTTTCTCTCTCATTGAGACATGCAGATCCTATGCGCCGATCGATCAGTGGCCTTGAGATCTCGTTGAATGCGAAGTCCGTGTTCTTATTTCCTAGGTGTTATTTATAGCCGACGGTTCAATGATATTTTACGCTTCCATTTCACGTGACTATATATTTATGGCGACAAGTAGCGATATCGACGTTCGATGTCGACGAGAAATTGCGGCATAATTTTTAAAACGAGGATAAGGTTTTCAATTTTAAATGCAAGAATCCGCGGTGCTGCTCCGAGCAGCACGTCCTCGCATCCGATCGAATTTATATACAATATTTCGACGGACGATCACGACGTGTGATCGATATCTATCGCAGCCGACAGCTTGGGTAGTTTTAGAACAGATGAGAATGGAGAGGAAAATGATTACTCGTTAACGCGCGCGTCCAACCTTTAACGAATCCGCGGTCGCGGAACACGATTTCACCGCGAATTACATCGCATGTACGCGCGATAGGAATAGAAACACGATAAGCGTCTGTCGTCGTAACATCTCCGGGCGTTGCGCGGATATAGATATTAATTTTATCAGTTACCGCGTTTATCTGCGCCTACACATCATGTTTTACTTCGCTGATAACGCCGCCGTCTCGAGTCTCTCGCCGCCTCTCGCGTATTTGCGAAAGTCGGGAAAATTGCGCAAAAATCCGCGATGTACCGTCCCGATCTTGCCGCATCTCCGCTTCTCTAAAACGAGTCGCACGCCGACTCGTTTCGTGGCGATCGATCAATCAATCGATAATTAAATCCACTCGCATAAATGCATAAACTCTCGAACGGTGTACGTTTCAAGAGGGAAACTTTGCCATCAGTCATTTGCCTCGTGCATTTGATCTATTATAATTTTTATTAATAACGCGAACACACATTATGCATGCGCTCGTGAACCCTCGGATAATAATACTTTTCCAGTTATTTTAGCCGCACTCTCGACTGAATGCTGTGTGCTATCTGTCAATCCTTTTTGGGACGGATGTCCTAGAATTCGATTTTAATTTTAATGGGTTCAGTGGCCAATCGACGAGATGAATTAATTTCTTATACTTTCAGACGTGATATAATTTTAACAGGAAAGTGAAAGTGTGAATTTTAATGCAGAGTGAAAAAACGATAAGAAAATTATCATTCAAAAAAAAAGTTATCTAGTCTATAAAACAGTTTTTTATCACATGAAACACTTTTCTCGGAATAATTTTATATTTAAAAGCATCGTTTTCTTTTTCTCTCTTCATTAACGTTTGCTTGAATCGCATATCTCACATTTCTATAAATAATTCCATTGGCACGTGAGAAGACGTTGGTTTTACGACGCAGTCGAGCCGATATATTAATGAATCGCGGGGCGATCGCGTGCGTACGGCAGTGGACGGTCTTTACTCGGAATCGCAGCCTCGTTTGCCAGGTTCGCCGGCATTCATAAAAGCTTGCAAAAGCCTCGATTACCCACGCGTGACGCCAGCCGCATTCTTCCCGCGCGCCGAGAGGCGGAATGGAAAAAGTGCATTTACTTTCAGGATCGTGTGTCGGCCTAACGTGTTTCGCCACACGGGAATGACGGAATAGGGAAACCTACTGCGTCACGCTGCGACAACAATTTGTACGAAACTTGCTTTGAGACTCGCTTGCATCCGACAAGATTTCTGATTTTTCGAAATTGACAACGACGTTTTCCAGGACGAGTATAGACATATCCAGTCAAGTACTATTTTTCTTAAAATACTTTTCTCATTTGAAAGAGAGAGGATAATTATTACCGCAGAAAAAAAAAGTTCGAATTGAATCACTGCCGATAAAGATCCGATTCGAAATTGCGAAGCCCCGATAATATGAAAGACGAAGACAGGTAGGCTGTAAATATGTCCACGCTTGCAGATTTGCAGAATTTATTTCCCCACTTCTCTCTTATCGCACCTCTCTTACGGAAATCCGCTACTCTCTTATCGCGCCTCCGAACGCGCTTTGGTATAAGGATCAGAATTGCATGTAACACATTTGGAAGCGATCTCGCGGGATAACTCGGTGGGAATTGGAACGAGTTCACGCGCGCGTATTGCGCGAGAAGATGCGTTCCGCTCGCGCGAGCCGCGCTCCGCGCCGCGAGAGTTCTTCGTGCCAGAAATATTTCGGCGGCGACGCGGGGCATCTCGACGTCGTCGTCGTCGTTGCTGCCGTTAAAACTCGCCGAAGCCAGGTGATCGCGCGCGCGATTAAATATAGGACGACGCCGAACGCACACCTATCCGCTCTCGCCCAATATTTTCTGTCCGGATTTCTTTGCGCGAAGCCGAGCGAGACGCGATCGATCGATATTTCCCGTTGAATTCGCCTCGCCATCGAATCCGGTTATCTCTCGATTGAGAACCGTCGCGAAGTGTATACGAAATAAATTCTGCAATTAAGGGACGACGAACGCCGCCGGTATCGCGCGATCGTTTACCTCGCGAGAGAAACCGCGAGTCTCTCGCATATCGCGTAACGCATCTTCGCGCGTAACATGCCTCCTCGCCGTTTCTCACGGATAATTTGCACCTTTTGTTACCTCGATTTCGCGTAATACAAAGTATTACAAAGTTACCGAGTGTTCGTTCTCTCGTTAATTAAACTGCCGTTCTCGGTGCGTTTAATAGATGACCTTGAAAACTCTACCTTGATCGTTTAGTGATAAATTAGACTCTACTCCCTTAGGACATGATCGTATATAGAGGCGAAATTGATGTCATCGATCATAGTTCGCGTAATTTCCTAAGATAAATGGATGGTGATCAATTTAAAAAAGTTGAAGGAGGGAAGTTTGCAAAAGGACTCTATTCGGACAAGCTTTATCCAGTATGATTAATTATATTTCGTACTACGAAAATATTATTGGAGTTTAATTATTTGTTGGGAGTCATTATTCCTCTCACGAGATACGTCGGGCGTTTACTTAGGAAATTCGAGTTCTCGCGGAACGTCCATCCCCTCCTCCTGTCCTCGGGTGCATCTCGAGAGAGCGGTGAATGCCACTAACCGGAAGCGTATTAATGAGAAACCGGATCTCGGGCCTTTCCGTCGTTCGTGACCCGGAATTTTTGTCGCCTCTCCTCGTCCCACTCGCTCTGCGAAGGAACTGGGCGTTCTGCGTCGCCGCTTAAAATATAGAACCGTGGATAAACGCCGATCATCCGTTCAATATTAATCCGAATTTATTGCGCCATCGTCAATTTATTACAACGCGAGCGGGGGCGAGGAGAATTTATGGATCGCGACGCCGGGCGTCAAACGACACGATTTCCGGTATCAAAAATCTCTCGGGCGCGTTGAAGTTTTGAACGATGACATCAATTTTGTAGAATCTACAGCCAAAAATCTTCGGGACAAATAGTCTTAATCTTCTAAACTGCGTAAGCGCTAAGAATTCGCGATCTCGACCAACCTTTTTGCGCTAGAAATGTGAAAAGTTTATGAAATGTTATGCATATAAAATTAGACTAGTGTGTGCCTGAGCGATTTGGTGAAATAAATTTATGTAAATCTAGAATTCATTGCGAGATACAGGCTGCGTGACATTTAATGTTTGCGGAACGTAGTACCAATTCGTCAGGAATTTAATATATATCC